TTGTACCATCCTTAAAAATTCACTTTTTGATGGTATCATGTTAAATGAAATAAGCCAAACACAGAAAGACAAACATTGGGGCCTGGCACTGGCGGTTCACACCTGTAATCCTTGCTGTTCAGGAGGCTAAGATCTAAGGATTGTGGTTCAAAGGCAGTCAGGGCAGGGAAGTCTGTGAGACTCTTATCTCAAATTAACCACCAGAAAACCAGAAGTGAGCTGTGGCTCGAAGTGGTAGAGTGCTAGCTTTGAGCAAAAAAAGCTGGGCCAGCGTCCAGGCCCTGAGTTCAAGCCCTACTACAGACAAAAAACCCAAACCAAACTAAACCAAATATTCCATGTTCTCTGTCATACAGAAGCTAAAATTTAGAAAATTATATGGGTTATTGATTTGGGAAAAAGAACAAGGCTCACAAATGTGTGAAGTATGCTACTAATTAAAAAATTAATATAGAGGGACTATCAATAGACTTGGGATTCCTGCCCTCCTAAGATGCATTCACTGTTTTCCCAAGCTGACTTCAAATGATATCGTTCAACCTCTCAAATTGCTGGAGTTTTAGGAGTGTGCTACTGTGCCTAGCAACAAATTTAAGATGCATATATGGGGGCTTGAAGTCAGGGATGGAAGCACTGTCCCTGAGCTTTTTGCTCAAGGTGATCTACCACTCTGAGCCAAAGTTCTGCTTCCAGATTGCAGATGGTTAATTAATATTAAGAGTTTCACAGCCTTTCCTACCTGGGCTAGCTTAAAATTGGGAGCTCCCAATCTCAGCCTCCTGAATAGCTAGGATTATAGGCATGAGCCACCAGTGCCCAGCAAAAGGGTACCTTTTATATGAAGAGCAACAACTTCCTGATGGTGTGACTAAACTGTTTTAGGTCACAGGTTTTCTAAGCAAGTAAGCATAAAGGCAAGTATATGGTGACTTGAGAGATAGCCTAGCTTGGGGCTGGGAAGGTGTCATGGTAGAGCGCTTGCCTTGCATGCAATGAGGCCCTGGGTTCGATTCCTCAGCACCACATAAGCAAAAAGAGAAAAGCGGGAAGTGGCGCTGTGGTTCAGCTGGTAGAGCGCTAGCCTTGAGCTGAAGAGCTGAGGGACAGCGTTCAGGCCCAGACCCCCCCCCCAAAAAAAAGAGAGATAGCCTAGCTTTATAGAAATTTAATTGTTTCCCTGGTTAAGAAAGGGTACCTTCTGGACATTGATGAAAACAAACTAAGCAACTCAAAGGCAGCGATGGGAGGGAGGGAAAGAGAAGGAACTGCTGACACCAAGTGAAAGGAAAGAATGTACATATCACCTGATATGGAAGAAATAGTTGTATTCTCAAAGCTCATAGAATTCACAAACTTTATAGGCCATGATAATGACAATTTGCCTTGTGAAGGTTAAAATGTGTTTGTGACTTGTATCACTATCCCACAATATTGTGAAACTTGTGAAATTTCTGTAATCACTTAATTTCAATAAAAATTATTAAAAAGTAAGTAATTAAAAAAAGGAAGGGATACCACTATTTGTTTCATCTGTCACTCTAGTCTCTAATTGGACAGGACAGTAGGTAAAGGCACAGTAAAGAATAACAATTTTAAGAGCTTTGGGAAATTTATTTGCATTTTTTCTTGCCTCATTAATCTGTAGACGATTGGATCACATCATACATTGCCATTCATGCTTAGCAATAGCAAGCAAACACTTTAATAATATCTTAAATGAAGCAGGAAGATAAAGCTGCTGAAATATATTTCAAAGTTAAACTTATGGATTATTTGTACCATCATTCTCTTATAGAAGGCAGAGAACTGATCACACACACAAGGACACTTAGCATACTGAATTATAAATACTTTCTTTTAAGTAGAACAACAAGAACTATCATTAACTTTGAGATCTGGAAACTTATTGAGAATGTTTTATATGACATAGAAAACAAAAATATATTCCTCTTTATAAGAAGAGATTGATTTCCAGGAATGAGTTTTAAGGTTTGACCAAACATTTTGTTGGGTGCTATAAATATCTAACCACATTTTACAGACACTTCCATGTTATAATATGTAAATGTACCCACAGCAATCAACAAACTTTAAATTGCACTCTTTATCACTATTAGACTCAAAACTATATTGTCTTCCTGTAACTGTTTTATTAACAAATTTTCATCCATTTCTCAAAGACCATTCAACACATTTATACTATTCCAGTAACTATCATGCTATCCAGAAAAATAATGAAGTTTATTTAGAATTAAATGAGGGTATGGAATGTGATAACAGTACAACTAAGACACTCAAGATGGGTATAATAGCACTAGTCACACAAAAAATTAAATTCATATAAAAAAAATCACAAGACAAAAAAATTCCATCATTATAAAGTAAGATGTTCCATGCAAAGCACTAAAAATTCCACCCAAAACCCATACTCCCAATAAACAAAAAACTATGTGAAAATATTGCCATGCTAACATGTTGATCACCATATTATTCATGGAAAAACAATATAATTATTAAACAATGGATTAGAATGAAGTAACACAGTTTGCAATATTGTCAACTAGACCACAATGATTTTACATAACAAACAATTCCAGATTCACTCATAGGGTGAGTAGTATGGGTTAAATGTTGAGAGAAGGTAAATATAAACCCCATTAATTCATATCATTATCTTCTAATTATAAAAACTAGAAGCTGAGAACCTGAAAAAATTATATAAAATTTGGCATACTCCCGTGTTCCAAGAAATGACTTGAGGATCATATATGCAATTAATAGACAGTTGTATAAAATCACTTCAAGGTCAGGATTTAACCTCTTAAACAATGATCACAATTTACATCATAGAAACAACTCCAGAAATACATTTACTTTGATTAACTCTTATTCAGGACAAAAAAACATGATGTTCTAGCACTGTATGTACAAATTTAAAAAGGGCAAGTTAATTTAGGGGTTAAAACAAAGGCAAACTGGTTCGGAGCAAGGGGAAAAGTCCTCAATTACGAAGACATAAGTGGGTAAAATGTTTTCTTGGTTTCTGAGGGTACAAAGTCAACAGGTAAAATAGACCCTGCCAGGCAATAATTCAGAGCTGCTCCAAAATTCATGAGTACTATCTTTTCATAGAAAAGATAGTTTTACATTAAAAAGAGTCAGAAATGGCATTTCACAGGACAGCAACTCCCTGCACAGCTACCATACTGAACACAGGCCTGGTTACAACTGTTATGCTCCTGCCAAGGGTTGTGTTCATAAACTGAGAGCATATTTCCAACTGGACAGAATATCACAGGAGGCAAACCAGGATCAGGAGTCACCTGTCTTATTACACTTGCCCATTCAGGAGGTGAAAACAGGAGTGAGGTGAGAAACCTCTATTTATGGTTCTGGATTGAGTTTGCTCATCATGTACAGACTGGCTATAAATAAAACTAAGACCAAGGAAAAAAAATACTTAGGATAAAATGCTACCCACTTGCTTTTTGCTATTTTCCCTCCTTTTAGATTTAAGGTAATTAGAATTGATTGGGAGATTATCCGGGATTACACTTTCCAATCCTAAAATTTAATTTCCTATTTATATTCCATGAAAACATTGTTAAGCATTCAAAAGAGGATTTGGCCTTTGTTTTTTTTTTTTTTTTTTTGATCGGTCATGGGGCTTGAACTCTGGGCCTGGGCACTGTCCCTGGGCTCTTCTGCTCATGGCTACAGCTCTACCTCTTGATCCACAGTGCCACTTCCAGTTTTCTGAGATAGAGAGTCTCACAGACTTTCCTGCCTGGGTTGGCTTTGAACTGCAATCCTCAGATCAGCCTCCTGAGTAACCAGGATTAAAGGTATGAGCCACCAGGCCCTGGCTTTTTTTATTATTATGGATTTGGCCTTTAAAAAAAAAACAAACAACAAAAACCAGCCGGGTGCCAGAGGCTCACGCCTGTAATCCTAGCTACTCAGGAGGCTGAGATCTGAGGATCGCAGTTCAAAGCCATCCCAGGCAGGAAAGTCAGTGAGACTCTTATCTCCAATAAACCAGTAGAAAACTGGAAGTGTCGCAGTGGCTCAAGCGGTAGATTGCCTTGAGCTGAAGAGTGCAGGTACAGTGCCCAAACACAGAGTGCAAGCCCAGTGACCGACAAAAAAACCCCCAAAACCCCCCAACCCCCAAAAAAACCCCAACCCAACCCAAACCCAAAAAACAAAAGGAGCACTTGCTTTAGTTTTCATAATATGACAATGAAAAATTTCCAGAGTGACACTTACAGAGTTTGAGGTCAGTGAATAAGATTCTTTAGAATCAGGGCCTATCAGAGTTCAAGTTCTTTGGAATGTGAATATTTTATATACAAAGGAAGGACAAATTAAACCCCCAGAGAATTCAAGTGAGAAAGATATTTTTTTTAATTCAGTCATGGGGATTAAACACAGGGCCTATGTTGCTGTCCCTGAGCTTTTTTACTCAAGGCTAGCCACTTCTGGTTTTCTGGTGGTTAATTAGAGATAAGAGTCTCATGGACTTTCTTGCCCTGGCTGGCTTTGGAACTGCTCAGATCTCAGCCTCCTGAACAGCAAGGATTACAGGCATGAGCCACTGGCACCAGGTGAGAAAGGTTTCTAAATGAGATGCTTCCAACAAATTAAATCTGATAAATTAGTCTTTCCCAACTAAATTTCAGCTAACAACTCAATACAGCCTCTTGAATCAGACATAAAGATCACTCAATCGTGGATGATGATCTAAGGATACATGATGGAATATAGATGAGCAATACACATGAAAATGTTTGTAAACCGCTGCAGTTCTAAAACAGTACACTTATATTACAAAGCAATGTAAATAAATATTGGGCTAGTAAAAAAGCTCTTATTTACAGTTTTACAAATGAAATTGTATTCAGTGTAAATGCTGTGTTAAAAGAACACAGTATTGTATTAGTAAAATGAGTTCTGTTGAGGGCATTACAGTTTCTGTTAGAATCAATGCATAATGTATAAAAGGTTCAAGGAACTGTTTATAATTTAGTACAGACAAACCCAGTTAAACCTGGAATGGCATCTGTTAAAGTGCTGAAAAACAGGAAATATTTAGAAAACACTGTACATTATTAAAGCTTAATCAAGTCAGAATTGTTAAACTTCTTTCACATTTTTATCCTTTTGTTACGAGCCATGTGCAAGATGAGTATGACCAGCAAAGAAATAAAACTTAGGCCACCAGCTGCTTTGGAGATTTTAGGTTCAGTGGAATGAGTTTCCTAAAACTGTTTATCCATCAACCATACCTTCAGGCCTCATAATCTGGTAAGTAATTAAATATTCAGGGTAAGCCTGCAAGAGAAAGATTAATTCAAATGGTAGTAAACAAATTTTGTTCCAAGGTTAAGAAGATCTTTCATAAGTATTCAAATTTTTAGGGAGGCTGTTCTAAATTAGTCTTAAAAATATAATTTGAGGGTAGGGATGGGAGGGAAAACAATGGGGGAGAATGACAGAAGGGGTGATATTGATCAAGATACATTGTAGTCATAACCTGACTTATGAAATTATAACCTCTACTTAATAATAAGAGTAATAATAAAAAAGGTGGATGCTAGTGGCTCACACCTTCAATCCTAGCTATGAAAGAGAATGAAATCTTAAAATAGAGGTTGGAAGCCAGCTCAGCCAGGAAAGTCCATGAGTTTGATTAACAACAAAAAAGCCAGAAGTGGAGCTGTGGCTCAAGTGGTAGAGAGCTAGCCATGAGCAAAAAAGCTTAAGACAGTACCCAGGCCTTGAGTTCAAGCTCCAGGACTGGCACAGAACAAAAACACCCCAGAATCATTTAGGGATATCTTCCCAAAACACAGTTATCTTAACTCCAATCCCCCCCCCCTTTTTTTTTGGTCCGGTCGTGGGGCCTGAACTCTGGGCCTGGGCACTGTCCCTCAGCTTTTCTGCTCAAGACTAGCATTCTACCACTTGAGCCACAGCGCCACTTCCGACTTTTTTCTTTTTTGCTTATGAGGAATGGAACCCAGGGCCTCATGCATGCAAGGCAAGCGCTCCACCACTGAGCCACCTTCCCAGCCCTCAACTCCAGTCCTTTAGACTAATAGCCAGCAAGCAGGTCTATGATGGTTAGTATTAAGGACATGTCTATCTGTGTTTAGTAATAGAGGTAATTATGATACCTATTAAATTCAGAATACTATTCTGGCCCAATATTTTACTGATAGTATGAGAGGATCATATGCTTCTTCGAACACACTTTTAAAAATCAGAATTCTGATTAATTACATTTTATAGATGCAAAAGAAAAATGCAGTGTAGTTGGCCAAATTTAAATAGTTTAGAGATATCAGTATATTTCCTTATTTTGAAAAAATTTAAGTATTCTTATTTTGCTACATTGGTATCTTTACAAGTCTGAAGCTACATATAAATTTTTGTTTTTGTTTAAACCAAGGTCTTGCCTTATTCATTTAAGAAACTAAAGTATGGTTCTATGGGGGGGGGTGGAGAGTGGTTAGTATGGAGTATGAACTCATAACCTGGCTCTTTCTTTTCTTTTTTCCTGTAGGTCGTGGGGCTTGAACTCTGGGCCTGGGCACTGACTGTTCCTCAGCTCTTCAGCTCAAGGCGAGTATCTACCTGAGCCACAAGTGCCACTTCTGGTTTTCTGGTGGTTAACTGGAGATAAGAGTTTCATAGACTTTCCTGCCTGGGCTGATTTTGAATTTTGATCCTCAGATCTCAGCCTCCTGAGTAGCTAGGATTACAGGTGTGAGCAACCGGCACCTCGCTAGACCTGGCTCTTTCTAGGCAGATCTTTTACTACTTGAGCCATACCTCCAGCTCTTTTCTGGTTTAGTCTCAGTTCTCCTACGTATTACTAGAGCTTGGTATATAGACAGGCCAACACACTGACCCCTATAGCTTTTTTTTTTTTTTTGTCAGTTGTGGGGCCTGAACTCTGGGCCTGGGTGCTGTCCCTTAGCTCTTCAGCTGTAGACTAGCATTCTACCACTTGAGCCTCAGCCCCACTTCTGGCTTTTTCTGCTTATGTGGTGCTGAGGAATAGAACTTAGGGCCTCATGCATGCAAGGCAAGCACTCTACCACTGAAGCATCTTCCCAGCCCCCCCATAGCATTTTTAAAGGTAAACAAAACTCCCCTCTGTACAGTATGTTCACAAAAAATAAAATAAAATAAAATTAAATTAAAAAAAAAAAGGTAAACAAAACTGAGTTACCTGTTCGCCTCTGTAAATAACATATTCAGCTAATGCTAGGCCATTAACACTGGGCCGACCGGTGACAGAGTGATGCCCGGGAGGTGAATGTGCCATTTTCATTGCACTAAACTGCAGGAAAGACTTTCCCAAGGTTACCCGGCAAAAGAGCAGTTGTCTAAAACATAAAATGGAAAAGGGCACTCTGAAGACAAATTTAACACAAGTTTTACAACCCTTACTTGCATACATTAGGTAAACTTTAGAAATGTCTTCATACGAAAATATTTATGATTGTTTTTAATATTTAACCCTCAAAAGAACTTTGTGCTGGGCTGTGGGGCCTCATGGGTATAACTGTAACCAAAAGGTTGAGATCTGGAGAATTATAGTTTGAAGTTAGCCTAGGCAGAAAAGTTGGTGACACTTTTTTTTTTTGGTTATGGGGCTTGCACTCTGGGCCTGGATGCTGTCTGTCCCTCAGCTCTTCAGCTCAAAGCAAGCACTCTACCACTTGAGGTACAGTTCCACTTCCAGTTTTCTGGTGGCTAAATGGAGATAAGAGTCTCATGAACTTTCCTGCCAGGGCTGGCTTTGAACTGAAATCCTCAGATCTCAGCCTCCTGAGTAGCTAGGATTACAAGTGAGAACCACCGGCACCCGGCTGTGACACTCTATCTTGAAAACAACCATAAGGCAGGTTGGCATTGCTCAAGTGGTAGAACACCCGCCTAGCCCTGAGTTCAAATCACAGTACTGCAAAAAAAAAAGTCTATTATTCTTTTTTTTTTTTTGGATCCGGTTGTGGGGCTTGAACTCTGGGCCTGGGTGCTGTCCCTCAGCTCTTCAGCTCAAGGCTAGCACTCTACCACTTGAGCCACAGCACGGCTTTTTTTCTTTTTGCTTATGTGGTACTGAGGAATCGAATCCAGGACCTCATACATGCAAGGCAAGTGCTTACTGAGCCACCTTCCCAGCCCTCATTCTTTTAAAATAATTTGTTAAATTATTATTTTTTCTTCAGTATTGGGAACTGGACATGTTAGGCAAATATTCTATCACTGGACTGTATTCCAAGGTTTTTTTAAATTTATTTTTGTGACAGGGTCTCACTGATTTGCCCAGGCTAGTCTTTAAGTCATGATACTTCTGGTTTAGCCTCCCACTAGGTGTGATTATAGTAAAGTGAATCACTATATCCAGCTAGTTAATTCTTATATTTTTGGTTTTTTTTTTTTTTTTGGTCGGTCGTGGGGCTTGAACTCTGGGCCTGGGCACTGTCCCTTAGCTCTTCAGCTTAAGGCGAGCACTCTACCACTTGAGCTACAGTGCCACTTCCGGTTTTCCGGTGGTTTCTTGGAGATAGGAGTCTCACGGTCTCTCCTGCCAGGGCTGGCTTTGAACCGCAATCCTCAGATCTCAGCCTCCTGAGTAGCTAGGATTACAGGCGTGAGCCACCAGCGCCCGGCTTAATTCTTAAAAATATAACTTTAAAACTGGAAAAACGTTAACAACTTTATAGATTTAAACTTATTATCTTCTTTGTGTCAAAGCAAAAACACAAATCACAGACCAAGGGGGAGGAAGGAGTTTAAGGAACTTCTATGGTAGCTTGCAAAAGAATCATTTATTCAAAAAGGCCATTGATTCCACTTTCAAGATACATTTAAAATTCATTTACTTCTAATTTTGTCACCATGTCTAAACCATCAAAATTTCCACCTGGACTATAGCCTACTAACCCAGTTTTTCTACTTCTACTCTAATTCCTGCCCAAACTACTTTCTGTCTAAGCAATTACTGATGAAAACAACTACTGCCAGGTGCTGGTGGCTGACAGTTATGATCCTAGCTACTCAGGAGGCTGAGACCTGAGGATTGCAGTTCAAAGCATCAAATTCCTGAGACTCTTCAATTAACCAGAAAAAATACATTAGTGGACTTGTGGCTCAAGTGGTAGAGTGCTAGCCTTAAGAAGCTCAAGAACAAAGGAGGAGGCTACAATGCTTGATAAGAAATGTACTCATTATCTTGCCCATGTAATTGTAACCCCTCTGTACAGTATTTTCACAATAAAAAATAAA